GAAACGAGGGCAGGCTAGCAGAGATCATTGAGGAAGATAGGGAAGGCTAGCAGAGATCATTGAGGAAGCGAGGGCAGGCTAGCAGAGATCATTGAGGAAGATAGGGAAGGCTAGCAGAGAACATTGAGCAAGTGGAGGGCAGGCTAGCAGATATCATTGAGGAAGATAGGGAAGGCTAGCAGAGAACATTGAGCAAGTGGAGGGCAGGCTAGCAGATATCATTGAGGAAACGAGGGCAGGCTAGCAGAGATCATTGAGGAAGATAGGGAAGGCTAGCAGAGATCATTGAGGAAGCGAGGGCAGGCTAGCAGAGATCATTGAGGAAGATAGGGAAGGCTAGCAGAGAACATTGAGCAAGTGGAGGGCAGGCTAGCAGATATCATTGAGGAAGATAGGGAAGGCTAGCAGAGAACATTGAGCAAGTGGAGGGCAGGCTAGCAGATATCATTGAGGAAACGAGGGCAGGCTAGCAGAGATCATTGAGGAAGATAGGGAAGGCTAGCAGAGATCATTGAGGAAGCGAGGGCAGGCTAGCAGAGATCATTGAGGAAGATAGGGAAGGCTAGCAGAGAACATTGAGCAAGTGGAGGGCAGGCTAGCAGATATCATTGAGGAAGATAGGGAAGGCTAGCAGAGAACATTGAGCAAGTGGAGGGCAGGCTAGCAGATATCATTGAGGAAGATAGGGAAGGCTAGCAGAGAACATTGAGCAAGTGGAGGGCAGGCTAGCAGATATCATTGAGGAAACGAGGGCAGGCTAGCAGAGATCATTGAGGAAGATAGGGAAGGCTAGCAGAGATCATTGAGGAAGCGAGGGCAGGCTAGCAGAGATCATTGAGGAAGATAGGGAAGGCTAGCAGAGAACATTGAGCAAGTGGAGGGCAGGCTAGCAGATATCATTGAGGAAGATAGGGAAGGCTAGCAGAGAACATTGAGCAAGTGGAGGGCAGGCTAGCAGATATCATTGAGGAAACGAGGGCAGGCTAGCAGAGATCATTGAGGAAGATAGGGAAGGCTAGCAGAGATCATTGAGGGAAGCGAGGGCAGGCTAGCAGAGATCATTGAGGAAGATAGGGAAGGCTAGCAGAGAACATTGAGCAAGTGGAGGGCAGGCTAGCAGATATCATTGAGGAAGATAGGGAAGGCTAGCAGAGAACATTGAGCAAGTGGAGGGCAGGCTAGCAGATATCATTGAGGAAACGAGGGCAGGCTAGCAGAGATCATTGAGGAAGATAGGGAAGGCTAGCAGATATCATTGAGGAAGCGAGGGCAGGCTAGCAGAGATCATTGAGGAAGATAGGGAAGGCTAGCAGAGAACATTGAGCAAGTGGAGGGCAGGCTAGCAGATATCATTGAGGAAGATAGGGAAGGCTAGCAGAGAACATTGAGCAAGTGGAGGGCAGGCTAGCAGATATCATTGAGGAAGATAGGGAAGGCTAGCAGAGATCATTGAGGAAGCGAGGGCAGGCTAGCAGAGATCATTGAGGAAGATAGGGAAGGCTAGCAGAGAACATTGAGCAAGTGGAGGGCAGGCTAGCAGATATCATTGAGGAAACGAGGGCAGGCTAGCAGAGATCATTGAGGAAGATAGGGAAGGCTAGCAGAGAACATTGAGCAAGTGGAGGGCAGGCTAACAGATATCATTGAGGAAAATAGGGAAGGCTAGCAGAGAACATTGAGGAAGATAGGGAAGGCTAGCAGATATCATTGAGGAAGCGAGGGCAGGCTAGCAGAGATCATTGAGGAAGATAGGGAAGGCTAGCAGAGAACATTGAGCAAGTGGAGGGCAGGCTAGCAGATATCATTGAGGAAACGAGGGCAGGCTAGCAGAGATCATTGAGGAAGATAGGGAAAACTAGCAGAGAACATTGAGCAAGTGGAGGGAAGGCTAGCAGAGATCATTGAGGAAGCGAGGGCAGGCTAGCAGAGATCATTGAGGAAGATAGGGAAGGCTAGCAGAGAACATTGAGCAAGTGGAGGGCAGGCTAGCAGATATCATTGAGGAAGATAGGGAAGGCTAGCAGAGAACATTGAGCAAGTGGAGGGCAGGCTAGCAGGTATCATTGAGGAAACGAGGGCAGGCTAGCAGAGATCATTGAGCAAGTGGAGGGAAGGCTAGCAGAGATCATTGAGGAAGCGAGGGCAGGCTAGCAGAGATCATTGAGGAAGATAGGGAAGGCTAGCAGAGAACATTGAGCAAGTGGAGGGCAGGCTAGCAGATATCATTGAGGAAGATAGGGAAGGCTAGCAGAGAACATTGAGCAAGTGGAGGGCAGGCTAGCAGATATCATTGAGGAAACGAGGGCAGGCTAGCAGAGATCATTGAGGAAGATAGGGAAGGCTAGCAGAGATCATTGAGGAAGCGAGGGCAGGCTAGCAGAGATCATTGAGGAAGATAGGGAAGGCTAGCAGAGAACATTGAGCAAGTGGAGGGCAGGCTAGCAGATATCATTGAGGAAGATAGGGAAGGCTAGCAGAGAACATTGAGCAAGTGGAGGGCAGGCTAGCAGATATCATTGAGGAAACGAGGGCAGGCTAGCAGAGATCATTGAGGAAGATAGGGAAGGCTAGCAGAGATCATTGAGGAAGCGGTGGCAGGCTAGCAGAGATCATTGAGGAAGATAGGGAAGGCTAGCAGAGAACATTGAGCAAGTGGAGGGCAGGCTAGCAGATATCATTGAGGAAACAAGGGCAGGCTAGCAGAGATCATTGAGGAAGATAGGGAAGGCTAGCAGAGATCATTGAGGAAGCGAGGGCAGGCTAGCAGAGATCATTGAGGAAGATAGGGAAGGCTAGCAGAGAACATTGAGCAAGTGGAGGGCAGGCTAGCAGATATCATTGAGGAAGATAGGGAAGGCTAGCAGAGAACATTGAGCAAGTGGAGGGCAGGCTAGCAGATATCATTGAGGAAACGAGGGCAGGCTAGCAGAGATCATTGAGGAAGATAGGGAAGGCTAGCAGAGATCATTGAGGAAGCGAGGGCAGGCTAGCAGAGATCATTGAGGAAGATAGGGAAGGCTAGCAGAGAACATTGAGCAAGTGGAGGGCAGGCTAGCAGATATCATTGAGGAAGATAGGGAAGGCTAGCAGAGAACATTGAGCAAGTGGAGGGCAGGCTAGCAGATATCATTGAGGAAACGAGGGCAGGCTAGCAGAGATCATTGAGGAAGATAGGGAAGGCTAGCAGAGATCATTGAGGAAGCGAGGGCAGGCTAGCAGAGATCATTGAGGAAGATAGGGAAGGCTAGCAGAGAACATTGAGCAAGTGGAGGGCAGGCTAGCAGATATCATTGAGGAAACGAGGGCAGGCTAGCAGAGATCATTGAGGAAGATAGGGAAGGCTAGCAGAGAACATTGAGCAAGTGGAGGGCAGGCTAGCAGATATCATTGAGGAAACGAGGGCAGGCTAGCAGAGATCATTGAGGAAGATAGGGAAGGCTAGCAGAGAACATTGAGCAAGTGGAGGGCAGGCTAGCAGATATCATTGAGGAAACGAGGGCAGGCTAGCAGAGATCATTGAGGAAGATAGGGAAGGCTAGCAGAGATCATTGAGGAAGCGAGGGCAGGCTAGCAGAGATCATTGAGGAAGATAGGGAAGGCTAGCAGAGAACATTGAGCAAGTGGAGGGCAGGCTAGCAGATATCATTGAGGAAACGAGGGCAGGCTAGCAGAGATCATTGAGGAAGATAGGGAAGGCTAGCAGAGAACATTGAGCAAGTGGAGGGCAGGCTAGCAGATATCATTGAGGAAACGAGGGCAGGCTAGCAGAGATCATTGAGCAAGTGGAGGGAAGGCTAGCAGAGATCATTGAGGAAGCGAGGGCAGGCTAGCAGAGATCATTGAGGAAGATAGGGAAGGCTAGCAGAGAACATTGAGCAAGTGGAGGGGCAGGCTAGCAGATATCATTGAGGAAGATAGGGAAGGCTAGCAGAGAACATTGAGCAAGTGGAGGGCAGGCTAGCAGATATCATTGAGGAAACGAGGGCAGGCTAGCAGAGATCATTGAGGAAGATAGGGAAGGCTAGCAGAGATCATTGAGGAAGCGAGGGCAGGCTAGCAGAGATCATTGAGGAAGATAGGGAAGGCTAGCAGAGAACATTGAGCAAGTGGAGGGCAGGCTAGCAGATATCATTGAGGAAACGAGGGCAGGCTAGCAGAGATCATTGAGGAAGATAGGGAAGGCTAGCAGAGATCATTGAGGAAGCGAGGGCAGGCTAGCAGAGAACATTGAGGAAGATAGGGAAGGCTAGCAGAGAACATTGAGGAAGATAGGGAAGGCTAGCAGAGAACATTGAGCAAGTGGAGGGCAGGCTAGCAGATATCATTGAGGAAGTGGGGGCAGGCTAGCAGAGATCATTAGACCTGGATTTCCACATCTTTGCGGCTTACCTTGACATTAGCTGCTACGACAGCTCCTGAAACCCCGGATAAAACTCGGCGATTCGGGCAAGCGACTTCTGCGCGGCTTCACGCGGGGATAAGCCCTGCCGCATCCACTCGACGGTTTGGTAGCTGAAAGAGGAGGTTTTGCTTCCTGACCTTTGTACCTGGGCAAAAACCGCGTCAGCACATCTCCATCTCCAGTAGCTGCCGCTCCACCGATCCCCTGCCAGAGGTACGCGCCAGAGCCCGGAACGGAGGAATCGCCTACGCGACCGGGGATCTGAACGCTGGGCTTGGATCCCGGTTTTGCAAAGCTTAAGCCTAAGCCTAAGACAAAGCCTAACCTAAGTCTAAGCTTGACCTTAAGGCTAGGTGAAAATCCAAGCCGAAGCATAAGCCTAATTCCTAAGCCTAAGCCGAAAGTCTAGCCTAAGCGTAAGTTAGCGTAAGTGCGAGCTTAAGCCTAGTCGACGATCGCGAAAGTTTTCATTTTGAGATCGATTTGAATCCATGTAATCCATAAATATCAAATTTACATCCCGGCACACCGGAAGTTACAGTAACCCGGTATAAAACCCGATTTTTCGCCCGCATTTCACAACTTTCCCCCGGACAAAATGGAACTCGAAGACGGGTTCGCCGTCTCGTCGACACGTCAGGTAGTTTTGAGATTCCTTTTTGAATATGCAAATTTCAGCGCGACTCGCGTGAACGTCTCGGCGACGTCGCGTTCATCTACGGCGACTCCAAGCACACCCTCGAGCTGGCGGACGTCCTCGCCCACAGCCAGAAGCTGCAAAAGTTGATCGGTGGTGGGGATTGACCGATTTCGACGATAAGCTTAAAGCTAAGCATAAGCCGAGCCTAAGCCGAAGCTAGGCCTAATCATTTCACCCTCTTCAGCCGAACCCGACGCCCTCGAACAGCTCGTCGCCGAGCAGCCGCTCGTCTGCCACAAGTCGCTGCGCATGGTCTTTGACTTCATTGCCGGCCGCGAGATCTTCATCGTGCATGAGATGGTAGTTGTACTGCTTCAAGTCGTCAACTCTCACTTTTCCAGCTCGACAAAGTGCTCGCCACCGCCCATGTGCTCGGCGTCGCCGAGCTGTGCATTGAGATGGAGAAGCAGATCGAGCTCATGGCGCACGGGCCCGAGACGGCCATGATCGCGCTCGAGATGGCCGGGCATGCCAATGTCCAGGATGACGTGGCTTACCGCATCTTCAAGGTGGGTAGGCAGGAGCCGTAGATGATCATGAGTTTCAGGTGTGCATCGGGCAGCTCGTCAGCTACGTGCATATCCCCAGCTTTCACGCGCTGAGCAGAAGGTCGATGATGGTGGGTAGCGAGTTTTCAAAGATCTGTCGACCTAGCGGCAAGTTCAACATGTTCAACAAGTTCAACCCTCTTTCCAGGCGATGATCGACTGGGCTTTGGCCGACGCCCCTTGGACCCACCCCCTGTTCCGTGTCCCCTGGGCCTCCCTCTTCAAGGCGACCATCGTCTGGGCCCACCAGAACGTCTTCGGGGATGGCCGACGGGTTCGGGCAGTTCGACCTCGGAATCCTGGCTTTCAGGTCATCTCCCACCTCGTCGACCGTCTCGAAATCGAGCGCCTCTCCCTGGCCGAACTGCGCGACGTCGCTGAACTGCTCCCCATCGCCAACATCCCCCTCCGGCAGCTAGATGACTTTGCTCAGCGGCTGAGGGAGACGGTCGAGTTCTACTTCAGGTAGGGTATAAACTGTGGTATGTTCATTAGCTGTTCAGAGCCACCGGCCAGGCCCTCGAGATGCCCGACCGGTTCGGCGTGACCAGCGGCTTCGAGCAGGACACCGGGTCGATGAACAGCTACTGGCAGCCGAATCCCAATCGCCTGCCCGGCGGCCAATCCCCCGAAAAGGCCAAGCCGACCAGCTCGAGTACGTCGCGCTGCCCGCGATTATTCAAACCAGTGTTTTTCAGTGTCCCCGATCAACTTCATGTTGTCCTCCCCGAACACGTCGGTCATCCTGCCCTGCCGTTCTTGTGGGGAAGAAAGAGAGGAATTGAAATTGTGGGGCTTTCAGCTTCTGAGGGGCCCGAGTCGAAGCCGTTCGAGCTCGACGTCGGTGAATTGCCGCCGAGCCGGACCGGGCTTTGGGAGTTTAACGGCGTGACCAGCGGCTTCGAGCAGGACACCGGGTCGATGAACAGCTACTGGCAGCCGAATCCCAATCGTCTGCTCGGCGGTCAATCCCCCGGAAAGGCCAAGCCGACCAGCTCGAGTACGTCGCCCTGCCCGCGATTATTCAACCCGATGTTTTTCAGTCTCCCCGGTCAACTTCATGTTGTCCTCCCCGAACACGTCGGTCATCCTATCCTGCCGTTCGTGTGGGGAAGAAAGAGAGGAATTGAAATTCTTGGGCTTTCAGCTTCTGAGGAGCCCGAGTCGAAGCCGTTCGAGCTCGACGTCGGTGAATTGCCGCCGAGCCGGACCGGGCTTTGGGAGTTTGAGGTGGGAAGCGTTAGGCTAAGCTTAAGCCTAAGCCTGATTAACCTAAGCCTAAGCCTAAGCCTAAACCTAAGCCTAAGCCTAAGCCCAGCCTTCAATTTCAGTTCCTCTTCGACGGCAAGGACCTCGTGCAGAACAAGCCGGTGAACGTCGACCTGGACGTGCAGCTGGAGAAGCCGCAGCAGCCCTAGCCCCGCCCCTGCTCGAGCTCCTCTTCCTCCGCTCAACCCTTACCGACCATATCCCGTTAAATGCCATGATGATCATCAATTCCAAACGCGAAGCTCGATAAATTTTATAGCCGGGCGGTCGTAGTACGTAGCACTACTCGTTACGGTGCTCACAACATTGTAAAAGCGACAAAAAGTGAAAAAGAGAAACCCACCTTGTACCGGGCACCATTGGTAGATGTTCCGTCTGAGACCTCGCCGCTGTCGTCGATCACCACCATGCCGATGGTGTCGTGGTGGAAACTAGGAAAGGCAGCGATTGGCTATGGAAATTGTCCGCTTTTCAATCTGCGATAAGCAAAGCCTAGCCTAGGCCTAAGCTTAATCCCGTCGCTTCAGGGGCCTGGACACCCACCGATCGATGATCCGATTTGATAGCACCATTTTTTCGAGGTTTTCTTTAGCGGACGCAGGCTGGTACGGTCCACAACTTTTGGTAGGGTCTGGGTTCACCTTCTAAAAATCGTTGAGTAGGCGAGGCGGGCTAGCAGAGATCATTGAGGAAACATAACCTTCCAAAAATTCGGCTGACAACTATTCCGCCTCCACACGTCCATCATCAGCAGTGAGGCCGGCGCGGTCAGGTTCTCTTCCTTGAAACCCATCTGGAGCGCGAAGCGGGTGGCTGCAAATGATGCTCCTCAAGGCTCTCCGCCAGCCTGCCCCGACTCATCAATGATCTCTGCAGGCCTATCCCTATCCAAATCCCTCACCCTGCTCCCCAACAATCATCGTGGGCTGCGTGTGGTTCATCACAGCCCAGGCGACGCGTGTAGCGTCGCGTACGCGGCGCAGCTGCGCGACGGCTGCCATCCGGTGCCCAGGCCTGGAAGCCAATGGCAAGGTTTTAAAGGGAGCATGACAGCAAGCGGGGGAGGCCTTCAAAGTCAAGCGCCTACCCGTCGATGAGCAGGGCATCAAGGGTCGTCTCGCCACTCTCGTCTGGCGACCCACCGTAACCCACCGTCGTGTCGCACTGTAAGGGGTGGTTGGAACGCGAATGTACGTGGCTCTGGGATCGGATTACGGTAGGTCATTTGACGCTTAGCGTAGTACGGCGCAGTACGCGCGGCGGTACGCAACAATACTCGAGGCCAGGAGCTGATTACGCATGCCAGTACGCTACAATACGCGGCAATACGTTTTCCTACGCCTTGTGAATCAAACTACTCCCGTAATTCTGGACAAACGAAGTCGAGTACGAAACCGTACTCCTCACAAAATTTCTAAGATCCGATCACGCAATGTATATCACCGAGCAGCCGAATTCATATTACGAAACCGTTCCCGGGTCGCATTACCGTAGCCCGGCCCAGGGAGTACGCAAATGTACTAATTCCAAGGGGCCAAGCTTCCATTACGCAATGTAATTGGACGCGTAACGGAACAGGCCGTCACATAGTACACCTACCTCACATGATTCCGCGGTGTTCGTGAGTAGGCTGGCGGATAGTGCGCCAGACGGCGGGGTGCAGACACACAGGGGAGGGGTGGGGCGCAGAATAGGCGGCCTCGTTGGAAAGCTGGCGACCAATCGAGATCGTCTGGCGGGCGCTTCGGCTCAGCATAATTGCCTAGAAAAAAGAGGTATGAACGTCCGATGCTTTGAAACAATAAAGATGGAACGAACGATCAATTAAAAGGTAATAACAAATTTCTATGATGCCTAACATGCTAAGGATAGTCAGAAAACCATCAGAGATCGGCGGTCGACGGCGGGAAGTCGAAAGCAAAAGTTTAGGATAATGTTTAGAGGCTGTTTTAATGGGCGCGCGGTTCCCCGGCCGGAACTGGCCGATCAGATGGGTGATTGATAAGGAAGAACATAGGGGGGCTGGGGGGAAAATTGCGTTATATGGTCACTAAACGGATTTTGGATTTTTATATACCAAAATGCTCAGCAGTCAAGCTGGTTCAGGATCAGTTGAAAAAAACTATTGGGAAACACTTCTGGAGCGAGTTATAACACTTCAAAGTTGGCGAGTGTCGTATATGGTCACTAAACGGATTTTTGATTTTTATATGTCAAAACGCTCAGCAGGTCGAGCTGAATTTAGATCAGTTGAAAAAACTTTTGGGAAAAATCTTTGTGGCGAGATATCCAGCTTACAAACCGTCCATTCAGCCCCTGAAGTAGTACGTAGTACACCAAAATACGCCAACTGTAGATCGGAAAGAAACGGAATGGTGGAGAATTGCCGTTTCAAGGGTAAAAAAAATACATTGTCAGGCAAGGTGGACCGTCGGGAGGATGACAAAAGCGCCAAAGCAAAAGCGCCAACGACAAAAGCGCCCATGCAGAAGCGCCAAACGAAAAGCGCCCAATGCCAGAAAGCGCCCAATGCCAAAAAGCGCCCAATGCCAGAAAGCGCTCTATGGGGAAAGCCAACGTATAGAGAGAGGAAACAATTACATAAAATGGCTTTTTTTTCAAGCTTTGTATGCCTTTTAAACGTTGTTTAGCGATAGGTAGGCTTTGTAGACGGCAAATTATCAACCCGAGCGGGTTGTTTTGGCCTTATTGGGTCTTTTTGGCTTGAATTGCCGTGTTTCAGTCTCTAGTTTTACCGGGTTTGCCTCATGTTCTCGCGATTTCTGATGTTTTCAGTCATAATACTGTTGCAAGCACGAAATACTTGTTATAAAACAGTGTTTGGAGGCCAGAACGACGAGAAAAACGCCGTATTTCCGGGTAATGGATCCGAAAATGGCACTAAACAACCTTTCCACGGCGAGTTTATACCTTTCTCACATTAGAAATGCATTTTCGGACCAGTTCCAGCATGTAGAGTCTTCAAAAATAGTGGAAAAGCGCTTTAGAAGAGAACTAGCTATTCGAGTGAAAGAATGCCCTAGGAGGCCAAAATAACTTGACCCAGTCGGTAATTTATGGCCTAGTAGGTCGAACTGCCGCTAAACTACCATAATAACACCAGAAAACCTATTAAAACAACTATTTTATCTCTACCTTATATAATTGTTTCCTCTCTCTATACGTTGGCTTTCCCCATAGAGCGCTTTTTGGCATTGGGCGCTTTCTGGCATTGGGCGCTTTTTGGCATTGGGCGCTTTCTGGCATTGGGCGCTTTTCGTTTGACGCTTCTGCATGGGCGCTTTTGTCGTTGGCGCTTTTGCTTTGGCGCTTTTGTCATCCTCCCGGGCCGTCGCTTCGGATGGGCTGCCGCTCCACTCTTTCGAAATCGAGGCGCCTGGGCGCTTCGCGCTCCTCGGGCGCCCCGATTTCCAAACCCTGTACGAGCTCGCACCCATCCGAAGCGACTAGGCCCCCGGTGGCACGAAGCCTTATTTTTAGGCTCAGATCGGGTGTGTAGTTTCATGCCAAACCCATTTCGAACCCAACCATTTTTCGCAACACCGAAAACTTACTCGCCGGGGCGACAACGTTATGTAGTGGGCCGGGGTGACGCCAAACTTTGTAGGGCATATCCAGGGGCGTAGCCAGGAAAAAATTTCGGGGGGCCCCGAAACAAATTTTCCAAAAAACTCAAAACCTTGCCGAAAAAACAGCGCCGCAGGCAAAAATTTTTGAAAAAAAGGTTACATAGCTCTACAAATAGCCGTAAAAACGTGCAAAAATAGCGCCGCAGTCAGCAAAATTTTTGAGAAAATAAAAATCATAAGGGTCCCCCCTTATGAAATTTTCGGGCCCCGGACGATTTCGGGGGGGCCGGGCCCCGGGGCCTGTATTACGCTACGTCCCTGGGCATATCTCGCTCCAGAAGTATTTCCCAATAGTTTTTTCAACTGTTCTAGAATCAGCTCGGCCCGCTGAGAATTTTGACATATAAAAATCGAAAATCCGTTTATTGACCATATACGACACTCGCCAACTTTGAAGTGTTATAACTCGCTCCAGAAGTGTTTCCCAATAGTTTTTTCAACTGATCCTGAACCAGCTCGAACTGCTGAGCATTTTGGTATATAAAAATTCAAAATCCGTTTAGTGACCATATAACGCAATTTAGCCACCGGATTTGCCTCAATTTTCTCACGATCGTTTCGTCCCTGATCGCGATCCCGCGCTTCGCTCGTTCCCAGCTCGTCGCCATCCTGAATCTACGTGCCTTCGAAGTCGACTGGAAACAATTCCCTATCTAAATCTTCTCCCGGTTTTCCGTGTCCCACGGTGATTGTCATTTTGTCATTGATGCCTTATATGTATCTCATTAATGCCTTCACGTTACGCGTACCCTTTCTTATCGATCGCAATGCTGATGGCAGGTGGATAGACGTTCTCAACCCAATTTGAATCACGCAATCGTTATCAACACTCGTTTACAAAGGCTAACGCTTTCCCGGGTCGGGTTTCCCTTTTCATGGAGGCCGCACAGCGGCCCGGCGCCTAATAAAACGTCCGGTAGAATTGGAAACCAAGAAAGACCGCAACGCGTGCGATAGACGCGTCGCGTCATTGCGAAAGCAAGCCTCCGCAGCTAAAATCATGCTGCTATTTCGCGCCACAGGCAAAAACCCGTACAGTACGCCTTTTCCTGGGAGCCATTGGGACCGAACCCATGGGCGGTTGTGGGCCGAGCTTTACAATTAGAATATTTCGGGGAGGAAGTGGAGGCTACGTTGTTTTTGACATTTATTGGTCGTATTCCAAGAATTTTTCTAGGATGGCCGGCATCCCGGAGGGCGAATTCACTTTGAAGATGGGGAAAACGTTCACTACGCCGCTTCAGGATCGCCCGGAATACCACACGTTGCGCTGTAAGTTTTTTCATTTGTTAAGTTAGCACAAAGTTCATAGTTGTAATTTTTATTTGATTTATTGAAGTTTTTATACGCGAATGCTTTTTTCTGATGATTCTAATTTCTTTCAGATGACTTCAAGCCCCAAAGTGTCACCTCCAACACCACCGACTCGTTTATTCGCATGGGCACCGAAGAAGTTCAGGTATTTATATTTATTTTGTACATAGTCTAGAACGATATTTATATAGTTCTCAATAACCTTTTTAGATTGTCCATGCGGATCAGGGCGACGATGTCTCGATTTTTCAAGGGGTCCAGAAGCCAACGTGCTCCGAAAAGGTTTTTGTAGTGTTATTTATTTGCAAATTTTTTTTAGGAATGTCTATTTTTCTACGACGAGACCACGGGCGCAATCACCATCGAAAAACTCGACAGCAACATTTTCGCCAAACAGTCGAGGTATACGTGCTGATAATTCTAAGTAATATTTCTTTAGATCTATGGACATCAAGCGGGACATGCTCAAGAAAATCGAACGAATGCGGCCCGGGGTTGGTAGTTTATAACCAAACATTATGCTTTTTCTTAGGGCTCGAAAGAGACGGCTTCGTGCTCCCGGCCGTCTGAACATCGCGACGAGCTTTTGGACGACGTCTCCGGCGCGTCCCCTGCCTCAACATCAACACGTACAACATGTGAGTGAGATTTTATCAATTTTTATTATCTATTTGAGGTTATACCTAGTTTCAAATGGGTTGAAGGATTACGTGCGTATTTTTCACTTTAAGAATTAAATTTTATTATTTGGATGGATAATTCGATATAATTATATTTATTGCAGCCTCAAGCCCTCATTCAACGGTTTCTGCCGACAAATCCGTGTCCAAGTCGCCGTTCGACTACCTCGACGAACCGTGCAAGCCCAAGAAGGTACAAATCTCTAACTATATTTTTATCTAACGACCGTTCAGCAACAACCGGACTCCACCTTACTCGTGGAACTTGAGCTGAGCGAGAGCAGCTCCGAAGATGAAGCCTGAGCCATCGGTTATTCGAATAATTTCCCATTTTCTATCTCTGTACCCATCCATATCTGTGTTTTACGGCCATTCGACTCTCATAATTACTCGCCGATCTCTGTATCTCCCCTGGTATCTGTGTATATCCGCTTTATTCATCGTTCATTACTGTGTTCATTTGCAGATTCCGCCCTTGACGCAGATCTGCTGATCGGTGAGGCCAGCCTGTATATGTTAATTTGCTGTGATAAAATCCAAGAAATCTACCTTGAAATCGTCGAGCATCTGGGAGGATTTCTGATCGACGAAAGCCTTGCAGGCGAGACCCTTGAATAGTAGCTTAGCTGAGTTATCCCGTTCAACCCACCTCGGCACCTGAGAACTTATTCTTGCAATCGAGCTCCATGAACGTCTTCAGATCGTTGACTGTCACCGGGCCCCACGTGTTCTTGAAGTTGGCGCGAGCATCCCCGCACATCGTCTAGTAAGGTTCTTTCGCATTATCGGGGGAGAGAAACCGAATTTTTCTAAGCAAGGAGACTTTTGTTAGTGTCGTCGGGGTTTCAGGTTGGGACTAGGCCTACCTTGGGCAGAATTTTGCGCTGCTTTTCAAAGTGACCACGAAATGCGCGGAATCGCGATGTTCCGAAAGCTATGAACTATTTGAGTTGGAATGAAATGAAATATCTCTCTATGTCTCTCTCTCTCGCTTTCCCTCGCTATCTCTTTCTCTCCTCTCTCCCTCCGCTCTCTCTCTCTCACTCTCTCTCTCTCACTCACTCTCTCTCTCTCTCTCTCTCTCTCTCTCTGTCTCCCTCTCCCTCTCTCTCCCGCTCTCTCTCCTTCTTTCTGAATCTACTTAGCCTTGAAGTCACCTGGAAACAATTCTTGATCTAAATCTTCGCCCGGTTTTCCTTGTGCCCTTTCCCACGGTATTGTTATTTTGTCATTGATGCCTTATATGTATCTCATTAATGCCTTCACGTTACGCGTACCCTTTCTTATCGATCGCAATGCTGATGGCAGGTGGATAGACGTTCTCAACCCAATTTGAATCACGCAATCGTTATCAACACTCGTTTACAAAGGCTAACGCTTTCCCTTTTCATGGAGGCCGAGCTTTACAATTAGAATATTTCGGGGAGGAAGTGGAGGCTACGTTGTTTTTTGACATTTATTGGTCGTATTCCAAGAATTTTTCTAGGATGGCCGGCATCCCGGAGGGCGAATTCACTTTGAAGATGGGGAAAACGTTCACTACGCCGCTTCAGGATCGCCCGGAATACCACACGTTGCGCTGTAAGTTTTTTCATTTGTTAAGTTAGCACAAAGTTCATAGTTGTAATTTTTATTTGATTTATTGAAGTTTTTATACGCGAATGCTTTTTTCTGATGATTCTAATTTCTTTCAGATGACTTCAAGCCCCAAAGTGTCACCTCCAACACCACCGACTCGTTTATTCGCATGGGCACCGAAGAAGTTCAGGTATTTATATTTATTTTGTACATAGTCTAGAACGATATTTATATAGTTCTCAATAGCCTTTTTAGATTGTCCATGCGGATCAGGGCGACGATGTCTCGATTTTTCAAGGGGTCCAGAAGCCAACGTGCTCCGAAAAGGTTTTTGTAGTTTTATTTATTTGCAAAGTTTTTTTAGGAATGTCTATTTTTCTACGACGAGACCACGGGAACAATCACCATCGAAAAACTCGACAGCAACATTTTCGCCAAACAGTCGAGGTATACGTGCTGATAATTCTAAGTAATATTTCTTTAGATCTATGGACATCAAGCGGGACATGCTCAAGAAAATCGAACGAATGCGGCCCGGGGTTGGTAGTTTATAACCAAACATTATGCTTTTTCTTAGGGCTCGAAAGAGACGGCTTCGTGCTCCCGGCCGTCTGAACATCGCGACGAGCTTTTGGACGACGTCTCCGGCGCGTCCCCTGCCTCAACATCAACACGTACAACATATGAGTGAGATTTTATCAATTTTTATTATCTATTTGAGGTTATACCTAGTTTTAAATGGGTTGAAGGATTACGTGCGTATTTTTCACTTTAAGAATTAAATTTTATTATTTGGATGGATAATTCGATATAATTATATTTATTGCAGCCTCAAGCCCTCATTCAACGGTTTCTGCCGACAAATCCGTGTCCAAGTCGCCGTTCGACTACCTCGACGAACCGTGCAAGCCCAAGAAGGTACAAATCTCTAACTATATTTTTATCTAACGACCGTTCAGCAACAACCGGACTCCACCTTACTCGCTGAACTTGAGCTGAGCGAGAGCAGCTCCGAAGATGAAGCCTGAGCCATCGGTTATTCGAATAATTTCCCATTTTCTATCTCTGTACCCATCCATATCTGTGTTTTACGGCCATTCGACTCTCATAATTACTCGCCGATCTCTGTATCTCCCTGGTATCTGTGTATATCCGCTTTATTCATCGTTCATTACTGTGTTCATTTGCAGATTCCGCCCTTGACGCAGATCTGCTGATCGGTGAGGCCAGCCTGTATATGTTAATTTGCTGTGATAAAATCCAAGAAATCTACCTTGAAATCGTCGAGCATCTGGGAGGATTTCTGATCGACGAAAGCCTTGCAGGCGAGACCCTTGAATAGTAGCTTAGCTGAGTTATCCCGTTCAACCCACCTCGGCACCTGAGAACTTATTCTTGCAATCGAGCTCCATGAACGTCTTCAGATCGTTGACTGTCACCGGGCCCCACGTGTTCTTGAAGTTGGCGCGAGCATCCCCGCACATCGTCTAGTAAGGTTCTTTCGCATTATCGGGGGAGAGAAACCGAATTTTTCTAAGCAAGGAGACTTTTGTTAGTGTCGTCGGGGTTTCAGGTTGGGACTAGGCCTACCTTGGGCAGAATTTTGCGCTGCTTTTCAAAGTGACCACGAAATGCGCGGAATCGCGATGTTCCGAAAGCTATGAACTATTTGAGTTGGAGGCTCGTTCTGGGTGTTACTTGGTTTTAGGTCGTTCATAGCTTTCGGAAAACTTACTGCCTGAATACCGTCGACCTGAACTTCAGGACGAGAGCGGAGTGGACTTTTAATGAAAATTCGTTCATTTTTACGCCTACGAATAATAAAAACCGTTTAGTAACGTTTCCTTTATTTATATCAGAAAAATTGGATGTGCTCCGAAAGCTGCCTTTAAAAGCCTTTAAAGTCTAACCGTGCAGGTAGCGCACATGTCAATCTGCGAGGCCACAGCGGCCATCAGGGCGCACAAGACCAACAAAGTGAGGCGCGACATCTAAAAATTATATTTTGTTAGAAGAAAATAATATCGCATCGGCCAAAACTCGAAAGATTGGATGACATGGATGAAGCATGGATACAGCATGGGTTTGAAAAACGGAAGCTGGTGATTAGGGGAAGTGGGTCTTTAGCATTATCGGGGGGGGGGGGATATTTTTCCTATAAGCGCATAAATTTCAATTAATGCAGTAGTAAGTGTTTACTACTTTGTTGTAGGAAAATTTGGCTATATTTCAAGTACAGTGACCATCTAAAAACTTTTAACGCTTTGGTGATGTAGGTCGAAATTCGTCTGTTTTTTGTCAAAGTTTGTTTTTTGTTTTTTTTTAATAAAAATTCCTGACGCTTCTTTGCTTAGGAATAGCAACAAAAATATAGTTTACAAAAATTCTCGATTTCTATTAGAAAAAAGGGGTCCTGAGGAAGCACCGACGAGCATCGATTTAGCTTTTTAGGCTTTTCGAAAAGCTAAAAAAGCTTCGGAAAGTAGCTTTTTGGGCTTGAGCATGGCGAACAGCTCCAGAATCTTTTATAAAGATAACTGTAGCACTGCCAAACCACGCCGCGTGCCCAGCTTTATCGCAAATATCTGGTTTCTACTCAGACGTCCACGTTTTCTCGCCCATTTCCCTTATCTTTATGTACATTCAAATGGTTTCCAAGGCTCGGCGGGCCGTTGCGAATCTTAATGTGATTTTTAGAGCGTTCAGGAAACGTTAGAAAAATAATTTTATCATGAATCCGGGGTCCCTAGCAGAGTTTGGCGGTGTGGCAGATTTGCTGGTTGTTCTGGCCGGCCTTGAACGCTTGGAGAAGCTCGTTCGAGTCCTTGTCGACCACCTTGTGGCACGCGCTTTTCTGAAAGGAAAATGGGGTAGTTTTAGCGAGTTTATAATACTGAAATAATA